AGTTTAGTCTTAGCATTATTAATTTTTGTGAATTTTATTTGAGTTACAAATTAGACGTAATAGTGTAGTAATATACATCTCATATGTCCTAAACATTTGCTATCTCAGCTATATGTCCCAACTATATATTTCAACTATGTCTCATATATGGGGTGAGTGCTGAGAAAATGGACCAAATTGATTTTTTTTTTAAAAAAAAGTTCCTAAATAAAATAGATGCAGATTTAGTCATCTAATTCAAATCATTTGTTATTTCAAAAAAAAATTTTTTGTCGATTTGGTCCTTTTTCCCAGCACTTACCCCATATGTCCTAAATGTCAATGTCCTATTAGTGTCCCATCAGTATCCTAACTATGTCCCATGACTACACTAACTGCGCATGTATGTTAATACATTTTGGATGAATATTTCGTATAAGGAGTAAATATATTTATCTGGTATCCTATGATTTTTTATAATTAATAATAACTATAATAAATTGGTTATCAAGCAAAAAATCATGATCAAGCATTAATAATTTTTATTAAACATTATTTGTATTAATAAAATTACATTTAAAACTAATTAATTACATATAGTATAATTTGTATAATAAGTTTTATTAATAATTATTTTTTTTTTCTTTTGAATTGTATTAATTCAAAAAATGAAATTTCTTGTATAAGATACTTATTTTTTTTATTTAATAGTTGTGAAGTCTTATTAAAACCATTAGATGACTATACAATTTAAATTAATTGTTAATATAAAAATATAATAATATTGATATAGTAAAAATGTAAAAATACCTTGTCTTGTAATATATCATTTTTATTAATACCATCATGTTTTACAGTTTCAGTCAATCTTTGCATAACTGAATTAAGAATATTTCTTTTTTTTCTTTTGTTATTTTAAAATAAATACGCATTCCAGCTGATAAACTATAACCTGAAATTACCATTACTTCAACTTCTTCATTTTTAGCATCAAATATTGATTGAATTGTTGTATTACATCCTGAATGATTAAAGATATTTCTTTCAGATATATTAATAATACATACTGGATCTGGCGGTCCTAGCTTAGCGGTAAAATGCTAAGCCCTATCATAGGTTACACTGCGATAGACCCTAGTTCAGCCCCTAGCCAAGACAAATATCAACAAATTAAGTTTGCGGGTTTTACTAGTTCGATTCTGGGAATGAATATCATAGGATGCGTATAAACTATGTATGTTGAAGATCACGTATTTGTAGAATATGGTGACCCTGAGATGTCTATAAGGTATAATGGTAGCTACCACCAAAATGGTGTAAACTCGCTTCGTCTAAATCATACCATCCTGACAACAGGTAGTGGTAATAGATATTTTCACCTATCGTGAACCAATTGAGTTTGGAACTGATAGTGGGGGCTGGTTTATAATGAACAAGTGCCGTATCGTCTGCAAAGCGTATCTGTGAGGGTAGATTAATGGTAGGCATTGTATAACCTGGATTGAACAATAGTCGTTGGTTATAGGTGGTTGATATTGCACTGTCTTCAATCATCGTGGCGTCTATATCACAACTAGGGTTTGGAGGCCTAAGTTCGATTCTTGGGGTGATTTTGATATATGGCGAGGCAACTATGGTGTAGGCTATTATCTTAGGTTGTTCTTGATCCTCTTTCCAGTAGTTGTGATGAATAGTGAATGATAGCTGGGTACCATATCTCTCTACCCTGAGGGTTCATTAGTTTAGCAGTCTACTCGGATATTGACACTCATTCATCTAGGTTTAACGCCAACCCTATACATGAAGTCGAAATGAATCATTTCGGATATCCGAAATGGTCAAAATGGTCGAAATCATTTTTTTTTTTTTTTTTTTGATACTTTTACTAGGCACGCACAAGTGGTATTATATTTGGATG